CTTGGCTCCCCCTCTGAAGCTTTTGAATATTCCTGAGTGTTATCCCTACAAAGTGATAGAAATGTAGCCGTGTTAGCCTGGGGTAGCTGAAGCAAAATGCAGGACAATGTAGCACTTTAAAGACTAACAAGATGGTTTATTAGATGATGAGCTTTCGTGGGCCAGACCCACTTCCTCAGATCAAATAGTGGAAGAAAATAGTCACAACCATATATACCAAAGGATACAATTAAAAAAAATGAACACATATGAAAAGGACAAATCAAATTTCAGAACCACCTAACCTCATGATGATTCTTACCAACAACCACAGGACATACCACACTAATACCAACCCTGGTACTTTCCCTTGCAACAAACCCCATTGCCAGCTTTGTCCACATATTCACTCTGCTGATACCATTATTGGACCTAACCAAGTGAGTTATAAGATCAAGAACACACATTCCTGTGCATCCAGAAATATAATCTATGCTATCATGTGCCGAAAGTGTCCGTCTGCTATGTACATTGGACAAACGTCTCAGACACTTCGCCAAAGGATCAATGCCCACAAAACAGATATTAGACAGGATCACAAAGAAAAAACAGTTTCTTGCCATTTTAACCAGAAAGGACACTCTCTCAATGACTTAACCACCTGCATTCTGCTACAAAGACCTTTTACATCTGCACTTGAAAGGGAATCCTCTGAACTGTCATTCATGTTAAAATTCGACACTCTCTAAAAAGGAATGAACAAACACTTGAACTATCTCACCCATTACCAAGATAGCTTCCCCAATTATCACCTCTAATACCATTAACTCACAAACATCCCACTCTCCCCACCTCTAATATCATCAATTCACAGACACTTACCTTCCTTCCTCCCCCCCCCGCCCTGCATTCCCCTCCTGTTCTGTAATGTGATTTGTCCTTTTCATATGTGTTCATTTTTTTAATTGTATCCTTTGGTATATATGGTTGTGACTATTTTCTTCCACTATTTGATCTGAGGAAGTGGGTCTGGCCCACAAAAGCTCATCATCTAATAAACCATCTTGTTAGTCTTTAAAGTGCTACATTGTCCTGCATTTTGCTATCCCTACAAAGCTCATTCTAGCTGTGAGGACAGAAACATGGAGTCTTGAGATGAAAGAAGTCATGTGTTGTTGTTTGCTAAAATCAGCGTGATCTGTTTTTACCCCCATTTCCTTGCCAAAGAATGGCCACTTGACAAGTGATTGCCGTCAGCTTTGATTGTACACTTCTCCTTTATCTTTGAGAAACTGTTTTATCCCTGCCCAGCTGTGTCTGGTAAACACACTGTAGTTGGGATTTCAGCTCATGTTCAGAATAGGGATGTAAAGGACTGGATAGTCAATAGGATAGTCCACTAGTCACTCCCTCCTTCACCCCCTTTCTGCCTCTGTCAGCGAGAGGCAGCAAGGGGGCAGGGAGAAGAGGGAGGTAGTTACAAGTGGCAGAGTCCAGGGTCAGGGGCTCCATGCAGCACTGCTACTTTGAAAGCCGCGGGAAGCCCAGCAACAGACTCCTTGCAGCATTTCAAAGCAGCAGCATCGTGTGGAGCCCAGGATCAGCTGGAGTCCCCCCGGGCTCCACGCAGCATTCTGACTTTGAAATGCACAAGAATCCCCGCTGGGGCTCATGTACATTTCAAAGGCAGAATGTGGAAGTGCCTGTTGACCAGTGGATGGAAATTCCATTGACTACTTGACTAGCAAATTAATCGCTACTTAACATCCCTAGTTCAGAACTCTTAATACACATTTTGTACATAAACTCCGTGAGAATATTGATGGTTATGTGATATCTCACAAGATGTATTTTGCACAAATGTTATTACTGTCCTGTCCCTAAGCACATTACATAGCGGAACTGTGGTACATGTAGGCTCCATAAAACTATTACAGAAAATTCCCACTTCATCACCACCCCCCAGCCTTTTCTCTTCCCACTTAAAGTGTCTGCTACCCTCAGCTGACTTGCTCCTCCTACTGGCTGGGCTCATGTAGAGTGAGCTCTCCAGCCCCTGGTGCTCCTCAGCTGGAGACAGAGCAGGCAAAAGAGACATGTTTGGAGGAAGGAAGGTAGGATGTGGGACTGGTTTCCCCCATGGGCCCACCAATTACAGCACCCTCTACCGCTGCCCCCGCCCCAGGAAAGAGGTCCAGAGTCCTGTGAATGTATGAAAACAATGAATGTAATCTTACCCTGACCCCGTCCCCACAGGCTAGTGAGTCCACGGCTCTGTTCTGTTCATGGCGCTTCACTCTCTGTGTCTCTCCTCGTTGGCCCTGCAGCTCTGCCACTGGTTTCGGGGAAACAGGCCCTCCTTGAGTTCTGACCTCCCTCACACATTTGCTCGCTCTGCTTCCTTTCTGTCTCTCCCCTTTAAACACCAAGGGTGCAAGAGGTGGTTGGGGGTAGGGGTGCTGAAGGAAAAGGTGATGGGCCTGTGGCCAAGAGGTATGGGGGAGTTGGAGGCTGGGATGCTGGGGCTTTGATAGGCAAGGCACCCTCGCAGGTTGAGGAGTACTGGCCCTGGGGTACATGCGGGCATTTGTAAAGGGTCTGGGGGAGGGAGTGCTGGTACAAGAGTGGGGGGCAGCCTGCCTCATTATTGACCCCTTGTGTCTCTTGCCTACAGGCCCAGGCTGTGACTCTGACAGTGGCTCAGGCCTTCCAGGTGGCACTAGATCACTGGAAAGCAGCACAGGCAGGTAGGAGACACCTGTCCCTGGCCCTGTCCTTTGACCAACTCGGGATCCCCCTTGGGACCAAGCAGGGCTGCTCCCTGCACTTGCTGAGGAAATGTTCCACATCAGGAAAAGCAGCCTTCTCTGAGCCAGCACTGCTGGGCCTCTTGCGACATCCACCCACCGACCCTGGGTCTCTGGCAGTTCCCAGCATGGCAGTCGTCATTTAATGCTTCCCCCTCAGCTGACTTTAGATGCAGCTTAAAGCCCTGAAGACCCCTGGGAGCCCACATGAAACCTGCCCGCAGGCGGGGGATTCCCAGCCACCTCCTGCCCCGAGTAGGTTCAAGCTATCTGCTGCTCCTGCCCCCAGGATTCCCAGGCTCTGTCTGTGCATCTTTCACCCTGTTTCCAGGCTCTGAACAGGAACAGTTCTACCCAGAGTGTACCCTGGAGAACAACAGGCCAAGCAGCACAAGTGAGCCAGCCCCGGGCCACGCAGGGAACACCCCATTCCCACACCACTTTGAGGTACAGTATATCCAGGTCATTTCCCCTACAGGGTGCAGACTCAGTTTTCCTGTGGCAGCCAAGAGTCTGGCTTGCCCACCCCTACTACAGTAGAGAGCAGTGCACTGGCCCTGGCTCATCCTCTATGTCTGGGACTGGGATTCTGGTTGCTGGGCATCAGGGAAGGTCAGAATGCTAGGGGAAAGCAATTCCTTCCGTGCTGTCTGCCCCCGGAGGAGATCGCCCACCCCCTAGTTTGTGCTGCTGACTCCAAGGCCCTTTCATGCTGGACAGAGCCAGCAGCAGGGCAGGCTCTGTCAGGAGGAGGGTGAGCTCCATGCTGAGTCCCCTTCACTGACGTTCAGGGATGGTACAGGGCAGGGATTTTGTTGAGTGGTGCCTGCTGTGGAAGCTGTTCTGTGAGACTCAGTAGTCCAGGATTGCAGTGGAGCTGGAAGGGCATATTGAATAGGGTCCCCAGGGACCAGTTCTGGGTCCAGGGCTGTTCAATATCTTCATCAACCATTTAGGTGATGGCATAGAGAGTGCTTAGAACGTTTGCCGATGATCCCAAGCTGGGAGGGGTGGCAAGTGCTTTGGAAGAGAAGGTCAGAATTCAAAATGATCTGGACACACTGGAGAAATGGTCTGAGGTAAACAAGATGAAATTCAATAAGGACAAATGCAAAGTGCTTCACTTAAAAGGGTTAGCGAATAAGACAGAGAATATCTTACTGCCTCTATAAATTCACGGCATTCCCACAGCTTGAATACTGCGTATAGATATGGTCGCCTCATCTCAGAAAAGATCCATTGGCATTGGGAAAGGTTCAGAGAAGGGCAACAAAAATGATGAGGGGTTCGGAATGGGTGCCATATGAAGAGAGATTAAAAAGACTGGGACTTTTCAGCTTAGAAAAGAAGAGACTAAGGAGGGATATAGAGGTCTATAAAATCATGACCAATATGGAGAAAGTGAATAAGGAAAAGTTATTTACTTCTTCCCATAACATAAGAACTAGGGGTCACCAAATGAAATTAGTAGGTAGTAGGTTTAAAACAAACAAAAGGAAGTCAACCTTTGGAACTTCTTGCCGGGGGATGTTGTGAAGACCAGGACTTTAACAGCATTCAGAAAAGAACTAAATATATCAATGGAGGTTAGGTCCATCCATGGCTATTGGCCAGGATGGGTAGGAATGGTGTCCCTAGCTTGCGAACAGGTGAGTGCTAACAGGGAGTTTCGAGAGGGAGTTCTCCAGGTGAAGGAGAAGCAGATACAGGACTCTTGAGGGAAGTGTGTTTTGTTACTGGGGCTTTCTTACTGTGTGCTGAGCTTGTGTGTGTTTGGTGTGTGGTGGTGGTGGTGTTTTTTGTTGTTTTTTTTTCCTTTCCCTGTTTGAGTGAGGCTTTAGAGAGGGAGTTCTCCAGGTAGAGGAGAAGCAGATACAGGAGTCTTGGGGGAAGTGGGTGTTGTGTTTGGGGCTTTCTTACTGTGTGCTGAGCTTGTGTTTCTGAGTGAGGGTTGGTGTGTGTTCTTTTTTGTTTTTTGTTTGTTTATTTATTTATTTTCCCCTGTGTTTGAGAGTGAGGGGTTTTTTTTCCCCCACCTCTCCTCTGCCCTCCCCCTCCCCTTGATGGAGTTTGTGCTGTGATTGGCAGGTGGAAACTGTTGGCTGGTAATTAAAGTTTGAATTCTAGAAGCCTCTGCTGATTGGCTGAGCCTTGGTAGGGGGAGGGGCTTTATAAGGCAGTGGGCAAGCGACCAAGGAGCTTGTGAACAGGTGAGTGCTAACAGGGAGTTTTGAGAGGGAGTTTGGAAGGGGAGAGGGAAGGGCGGGAGGTTCTCTTGTCTTTCTTTTTAAATCCCTTTTCCAGGACAGCAGCGATGGTTGGTGATGGGTCTGCTGTTGTTACCTGCACAGCGTGTGCCATGTTTGTCTTCCTCCCGGAAGAAAGAACGGATTTCATCTGCACCAAGTGCAAGCTGGTCGACATTTTGGAAGAAAAAATTAGAGGACTGGAGGCCCAAGTGTCGACCCTACGCTTGATCAGAGAGGATGAAGACTTCCTCGATAGAAGGCAGCAATTGATCCTTCAAGCACGGCAGGCAGAGGAGCCAGTGAGGGCAGTACGCGACCAAGAGGAGAACTGGCAGCATGTAACTTCTAGAAGGGGAAAAAGGCCAGCACGGGATTCCCCCGATGCTATAGAGGTAAGCAATCGCTTTCAAGCTCTCTCCACAGGCTCTGCAGTGCTGAA